ACTTTCTCCTGTGTATTAAAAAATTAATTAATTTTTGTTTTTGGATATTTTTAATCATGACGCGGGTAAAAAAATTTAGTAGTCAGTCTTGTTGAAAAGAAAATAAGATATTTTTACATAAAATATTCTATATTAATTATCACATATTCGTTGTTTCTATATTCATTTGATGATTATATAGTTTATTATATAAAGAAGAATGTGCGGGATGAGAGCTTGACACGTAAACAATATTCTTAAGCACTAGATCGTGACATATGTAATTGTTAATTTAGATTGTGACATGTGTCAATATTAACAAAAATATTTAAAAAAAAAATAAGAATATTTTAAACAAGTATTATTGAGTAATTAAGAAAAGAAAAACAAAAATCGTTCTACTAAACTATGTAATATTTCTAATATATATTCTAAACAAGGATTATTGACTAATTAAGAAAAAAAAACAAAAATCGTTCTACTAAACTATGTAATATTTCCAATATTAACAAAAATAATTAAAATAAAATTAGAAATATATTCTAAACAAAGATTACGGACTAATTAAGAAAAGAGAAAAAAATCGTTCTACTAAAATATGTGAGATTTTTATATTTTTATATTACAAAATATATTATTTTTATTATAAATTTTATCTAAATAGTTAAAGATAAAAAATGTCATATTGATAAGTGTGATTTTGCAAATATAAACATAACATATAAACATTACACAAGCCATAAAATAAATAAATAATACATATAGAATAAAAATTTTAATTGAAATAAATAAAGACAAATGATATTTAAAATTTAAATTGGAAAAAAGACAAAAGTTTATAGACGAATGATAAAAAAAGAATGTATATAAATTGGAAAAATAAAAGTTGGAAATATTATAGAAACCTCAATTTAAAAGTTTAAAAATATAAACAACCATGCAAAATTAAAATAAAAATAAAACCTATAAGAATACTTATTTTATCAATATAGAGTTATAAATATCACAAAAAATAGTATTACTCGACCTACTATACCATTGATACTCTTCAATTAAAAAA